GTTTTGCACGAGGCCTCGTTTTGAAACAGAAGCAGAAGCGAACTCCGAAATCGCTTATTACGTTTTGTGATTTGTGCTTTCCTTACTCTTCTGACGAGTTTAAATCAATATCTTCTNTTCATTTGTGAGGAAAACGTTCACTGTTGCAGTCAAATTTGTATCGTACTGCAATGAACTCACTCAGCAAATGAAATGAGGATAAATACTTCCGTAAATACATGTACCTAACGTCTGTATCAACATTACTCGCTTTAGTATATATAATTGGTTAAGAAAACATTATTCACGATAATACATTATGCAGCAATAGTACGACCAAATTCTCTATTTGGAAAGCACACAGGCGCCAGCAGAGTCCACAGGTAGAGTGCAAAGCCAAGCCAGCAGGAAATGATCTTGACCCACAATGAGCCCGCGGTCTTCTGAAAGTTCTTCAAATTACTACCCTGGGGACTAGAGAGGAGAGGAGAATGTTACACTGAAGCTATGACAGGTAATGTCGTAATCCAACATAACGATAGTATGTTTAACATAGAGGTGGGGATGTGACTCAAGTAACAAAAATTTTTCTTTTGTTCCCGTGAAAGACTGTATCCAATAGGCTATTTCCGAGTTGCCTTTTGCCACTGTGACAAAACGAACCTTCGTGCGAAACCATTCATACGAAACTGTCTTTCCCCTACAGATTCATTTTCATGCAAAGCAAACTCATTTTGATATGAAAGGTTTTGCACGAGGCCTCGTTTTGAAACAGAGGCAGAAGCGAACTCGGAAATCGCTTATTACGTTTTGTGATTTGTGCTTTCCTTACTCTTCTGACGAGTTTAAATCAATATCTTCTTTGTTCCAGATTTATCACCATAATCCCACAAGAGAGAAAATACCGAGTTTGAAATCACTTAGACTACGAGTAGTCCCTCTTTCGCTTAGTACGTCGTTCGTGACAGGAAAGAAAACCGCGAGAAAAAAATGGCCACGCAAACCTCTCGCCCCCAGGAGTTCGCGCGGCCATTTTTTTCTCGCGGTTTTCTTTCGCGTCATGCACGATGAACAAACCGAAAGAGGGACTACTCGTAGTCTAGAAATCATTTGACCGAAAATGTACTTTACACCAGAACAAGCACAGCAAGCAAGGTAAGTCTTCAAGAGCCACAGTGACCTTAAACTGTTGGTGTTTAAATCCGCTTTCTGTAGCATGAAGCGACTAGCAGTATTTCGATTTCTCCCTCGATGGGATGCTAGTCCATCACAGGATACTCCTCCCCCGGAATTTTGTCAAGTTGGCCTAACAGTGCACCGGTAACTACTTACGCTCCCGGGGGTGGAGAGCCCTGACACTGAGAAGACAGTGTCCCACCAAAGAACACAATCCAGGGACCTTCCATGATCAGGAGTCCAACGCGCTAATCATTAGACCGTTGCTTCTCCCACATCTACATTACGGTCTCCTACATGTATTAACAATTTAGATCCTCATTAATGTTAAACATAAACAAAGACGCTGCATAACGTTTCTCCGCGGGATCACCACTCACCTCTGTGGGGAGCGAAATAGCACGTATCTCCCCCAGTTTTTCCGGGGCCATATTTTCCCTTAGCCTCCCACCCCGGTCTCTTACGCAGACGCCCTTATGGCTCGACAGGCAATCCTTCCTCCCCAAAGAAAAGATTGCGTGACGACGAGCCATAAGGACGTCTGTGTAATAGGCAATTTTTTACTTTAAAATTTGTTTTTTGGACTTCTCGCTAAGGAAAAGTGTGCGCTCATACCGTGAACAATGTCAGGCTCGATAGGAACTTACCTGTACCAATTTGTCAGCATCATCATGATGTACAAGGAAGCCAGGAAGTAAATAAAGTGAAAGAAGGAGTAATTGTAAGCCACACCGTCATCTTCATCACTTATCACTTGCTGACCTCCTTTCTCCTCATCACCTGAAACATAAACACAAGCACTTCTCAATTATGGGTACAGTGAATCGCAGCTTTACTTAGGAGTGGGTGCCATAATGAAGTCCTAAATCATAAACTAAGATCGCTGACATCTTAGGAAAACGTTTTAGAAACTAAATTTTAACTTGTCAGTTTGTAATCCGTCTCTGTCCAGGGTTGCCACCCACCGGAACGAAAACTACGTGCATCGAAACGCAGGGAGGAAACCCGCAAAACTGGGCTCGGAACAAGGCGAAAACTAACAACAAACTCAATCCACTCATGATGCCGGGTCCAGGATTCGAACCCGGGCCACAATGATGGGAGGCAAGCGCTCTTAACACTGCATCACCTCTTATATTACGCTTGCATCACCCTACATCAGCCATACATCATTCCCCGCGTCACCACCAACACCTTAGCAGCCCATCCTATTTAGACTGTTTTGATTTGCAAGTTATTTTGTAATGTTATTCGACGAAGAAAGCTATCCTTTGCTCTAAATAGATGTAACACAGTTTTCATTTAAATGTCGTAAAACCAAAACCAAAACAATCACAATGGCCAACCACGATAAAAGGAAACAACATTATGAATCACTGAGAATGCGGAGCTGTCGCTTCTGCTTGTTCTGAAAGGACATTGTGCACTTGACTCTATTTAACAATTAGATTATGAGTTTGAGATTTCTATCACACATAGAAATCATGAGCGACTAATAATTTAATTGTTTTAGTATAAATCAACGAGTCGTTCCAAACTTTATTTAAATCCTCTTCACAGACACTTTGAAAACGCAAAGAAGCCGCCGCCGACCACACCCACTGCTAGCTTACTCGCTATCTACAACAGAATCGATAGTAGCGTAGCCAATACGAGAACGTCATTTGCGATAAAACGCTGGTGGATTTATACTACAAGGTATCACACCCTTTCTGCTTTTGCATATAGTGTACAGCAACTTATCACATTTTTTTCAATTTTTTCAAATTTGTAATACGCAAAACATCATAAACTAAACATTTACAGCCTACCTGTATTGGAACTAGTACCACTTGATGGTGCCAGTCTATCAGCACTCCCAACAGTTCTTAGACTGCAGAGGCAAAACAGAGATAAAAACAGAGTGAAGATCGCTGTACCGTTGCCACTCGATGAAATTGTTGGTTAATTCTTGACAACCTTTTTACGTCCTTTTTGACAGCTTACTGGTGGTCCCCGTTCAGATTAGCAAATTTACCAATATTGATAACTCCACCAGCAAGTTATGCATTTTGACTGCATGACCAGTTGAAACCAAATTCATCAGGACGTTGTCAAAAAGATGCCAAAAAGGTGTCAAGAACTGGCCACAATACATTGATCTTCACTGAAATGCTCAAGCTTACAGCATTATGACTTGGCAATTATTGCATGATCACTTCATAAATGAAAGAGAAATCTGAGCTGGTATCATCTCGTCCTTTGTGGTACCGTTACTGGGGACAACGTGGTGACTTATCATTTGTTGTCTCCAGTAAAAGTCCCACAAGTGACTGCAAGATCAGACTCGCCTTAATTTCTTCTCAGTTTATTAAGACTAGTGATGAAGGGGTCACCCTGTTTAAATATCGATTATTATTATTATTATTATTATTATTATTATTATTATTATGAATAACCAAATCATAAACTGTAAACTTGGGTATTACATTGAAGACTGAAGTACCGCTGCACTTGACAACTTTCTTTAAAGTTCGTTAATTAGGTAGCAAATATTAAATTTGTCAGCTTATGATTAAATAGACAGCAGAACAAATTTTCCCAAAACCACCAAATTCATGCATTGTACTTCATTTGAATGATTTATTGGCAAATGTACTGTCACTAACCTTGAGTAAATAACAAGAATGAACATAATGGCGAGTCCAACAACTAAGGCAAGCGTCTCAGAGTTTTCAATTGTTCCTAACGATGAACCGCAAAGGGCTTGACTGGTGCTGTTACCTCCTTGAGAAAAGAAAAAAAGAAAAAGAAAAAAGAAAAGCCACCCGGCAGAAGTCAAAACAAAAATGACTCCTCTAGTTACCGTATGTTAGACCAAACTTTCACTATCACTGAACATTTCACAAAAGTTGTAGCAGGCGCAGCGGCCTAATGATTAGTGAATTAGTCTCTGGTTTGAGCGCAGACTGGGGTCATTGTGTTGTGTTCTTGGGTAAGACACTGAACTCCCACGGTGCCTCTCTCTACCCAGTTGCATAAATGGATACTGTCAAATTGTAGGGCAACCTGATAGAATACAAAAGAGAGGTCATAGTGGGTCCCATCCTGCTCCACAAATTAACTTGATCAACACACACAATGTACGTGAACTTATTTTGTTTGCTGAGGACAACAATTTGTAGAATAATCAGGTAAACATTTCCATACCTTCATCAAGGGGTTTATTGGCAAGAGCAGACAAGGTCAGGTAGCTTGCATACAACGAGATGATGGATGCCTGCAGAAGACCTGACTTGGGTTGCACTGAAAAAAAGATTGCAATCTCTCAGTAACATATTAAAAGTTATAATATACTTTATTAAAAACAGGATCATTGGATAATGCAATTCAAGAGTTTTCAATGGCTTAAGTCATTATGGTATATGAGCAATTATACCATGCTCTACAAATATGGTAAGCGTACTCTGGTAATTTGAGGGGCATTTTTACTTTTATTTTATAAAAAGTTTTGATTCTATATTTTAGGGGCATTTTTTTCAGATCATTTCATATTATATATCAAATTAGATTAGATAAGATTAAGATTAATTTAGATAAGATCAGATTAGATTAGATCAGTTTAGACTAGTTTAGATTACATTAGATCACAGATTAGATTAGTTTAGATAAGATTAGATAAGATCAGTTTAAATTAGATTAGATTCAATCAGATGAGATAAGATTAGTGGATTCGATTAGATAAGATTAGATTAGATTGGATTAGATTAGATACAATTGAATGATCTGTTCACTGATTAGAAGTGGCACAATGTTTTTGGCCTTCCCAAAAATTACAGCTCATTTTGCAGGTTTGCAAGTTAAACCTTGATCTGAAAACCACAAATTAAAGTAAATGTACTGAGGATTTAAATCACCTTCTTGAATCTTAGGGAGAACTGAAATCACAGAGAGCACAATACACATGATGAAGTTGAAGCTGATGAGGAACTTGTTGAGATGACAGCCATTTGTCTGCAAAAACAATTATAATTATTATTATTAGATTATAGTGAATAAAAAACCACTGCAGTTCTGGTAACTTAATAGGTAATGCACTCTGCAATAATAATCTTTGAATAAGGTTAAGTAGACACTTCATACCAGGGTTTTTGTAAGGAAAATTCTAACCACTAATCTTGAGCAGTAGCATAATTTATTCAAATTATGCTACTCTGTAAATTCCAGGGTAAATAAAGTTTATGACGATCATGATGATAATAATGATGATGTAACTTACCGAGCATTTTGTTTACACGTACTAATAATATACATGAAAAAATTACTCGATTCTGATTGGCTGAGAGCAGTGCAGTTCAAGTGTAACACCAGTGCAAAAAGTGTAACACCGGTGCAAAAAGTGTAACACCAGTGCAAATTACACATCATAATTCTGAGTTATGATTGGCTGAGAGACAAAAGGAAATTTTCTATGCCAGTGATATCACATAAAATGATGATGAAAATTTTTTGCAGAAAATTTGAAAAAAGTTTTCTCGAATGAGAAAAAATGGCTTCAAGAAAGATCTTCCGGCACYTCCTCCATGCGAATTTTTTCATGTTTATATTATTAATAAGTAATCATACAGTTTTTCTCATTCAATTTGGAATTAATTTGCACTTGTGAGTTTTTCAAAAAGCTGAAATTGCACTTGCCAAAGCGGCTCGTGCAATTTCAGTTTTTTGAAAAACTCACTCGTGCAAATTAATTCCAAATCAAACTCGAAACTGTATGATTACCTATACAAATTGTATGTTATTTTGTACCCTAAGTTTGCTTTTTAAAATATTTCTTGAGAACAAAATATAATTTCTAATAACTAAACTGCTGAAATTAGCAAAGTGTGTATTTAAACCCTCAAGAAATGGCTTCAATGTTGCTACAGAGGCATTTCTAGAGACATTATTTCCTTTATTTTTGATTTTTAATTGAATATCTGGTTTGTTTTTGGAATAATTGAAGTATGTACCTAGAAGTATAGTCGAACCTCGATCATCCATACCTCGATTATCCAGACTTTTTCATCAGTCCCAATTTTGTCATGAATATTTCTTAGTCATGACCAAGATCCCTAGCAATATTCTTTTTAAAACTATGGCATTGAAAAGTGCAGTCAAAAGTGAGTTTGTTTTGTTTTTGAGGAGCAAAAGCAGTGCTTGCACGCATTGTAACTAATGAAGAACACTCAAATGAGTTCTGATTGGCTCAGAGTTGAGTGGTTCAAGATGTACCATAGACCATATTGTTTTCCAAGCAATTTGTAAAAGTGTTGTTTCATGATTAAATGTTGCTTTATTTAGACAGTTTTGTTCTTCATTAATCTTCATATTTTCGATTATCTGGAGCCTTGATTATCTGGACTATTTCACTAAGTCCCAATGAGTCCGCATAATCGAGGTTCAAGTTTTTAATCCCAAGTACATATACCATGTACTATCAAAATGCACCATTTTTATTTTTGTCCCAGTTCCCTCGCTGAAATTGATTATAAAATTACTAAGGACTACAAAATGACCCTTCTATTGTTTCTAAAACCAAAAATCCTCTTACTAACCTCTGTGAAGAAGACATAGGACAGGATAAATCCAGTCAATGCCAAAGCGTAAAACACGAACATGAAGAGAAACAGCACTGTGAACAAAAAGATCAGATTGCTGATTAACCCGCCAGTACTAAGCATGACCAAAATCTAATTTCACCTTACCAATACCATATGAATCAGTTTTACCTAAATTGGTGGTGAGAATTAGGATAATCATCATGTGAGAAACGCTAAGACTCTAAAGGGACACATGTGCATTTCCCAAAAATTCAGTCATGAGTTGCAATTTACAAAATACAAAGGGTGGCAATAGTCCTTCAAAAACCATGGTTTGCAAAAATTTTTCGTCCATCTTTCAGTTGGGGACTAGATGTATGCAGCCAGGATTTGAAAAGTGGGCATCCAAAACGTGCCATAGGGCTTGCTCAAACAAACAATTTATAAGGCAACATGTGAAAAATAAAACTACTTTCTTTAATAAGTGGCCATCAGGACGCCTGGATGCCCATCTGGCTAAAAGCTTAGCACCAAACATATCAATTACTTAGTAATACATGATTTATGTATTGTCAAAAGGTCTAGACAGCAGCAGGCAAGTCATAATTTAAGAACATTGACAACAATTTTGATAATTACAAAAAGTGTTTTGACAGATTTTCTGTCATCTTCAGTTATAAATGATAATTCTATCATGTGACTAAGAGACAGGAGATCCCATGAGATAGCACAGCACATGCGCTAGATCATTGCATGCTTTGCGCTAGAAAGCGAAGGACCTACGCTACGATTTGCCACAACTTTGGTCAAAAATTCTTTGAAAATTCAAATGAGATATACGAAGCACATCTCAACACACGTAGGCGAGCCAACGTGGTTGGCTTAACAAGCGCCTGACTTATTGTTTTATTGCCCTTCAACGTAGAGCAATTTCGTGTTTCCCGCCACAAGATGTACTGTCATGGCAGATGAAGAATCTTCGGAGGCTATTTTAAATGTCACTGCTTATCCAGATGTATGAACTATCTTTGCTGAATTGCTTGGTGAAGTGAAGAAGATGAATGAAAATTTCACTAACATATCCTATGTTGATGAGGACGAGCCTCTATTGTCTTTGATAGCCCAAAACAAGGACGAGGCAGCAAACGACATCGATGGTGTAGAAACTGCCTCTCTGGATGCTCAAGTAGCGCAACTTACAGCCAAACAGCCAAGCTACGACCTTCTGGCTACCATAGCCCAAGATTTGGATGTCAGAGAAAAGACAGGTTCCGCTATCAGTGACCATCTGGCAGGGATTCTTACGTCCCTTTTGAAGGACAAATTGGCTGAAGAGAAAATTCAATCGAAGATTGAAAAATACCCTCGTCCCTTAAATGTCAAAGAACTGCAAACACCTCGTGTGAATCACCTTATTTGGAACCAGCTCCCTGCACAATTCAGGACACAAGATTCCAAAATGCAAAAGTCACAAAATGCCCTCGTGGCATCTTTAGTCGCTATGACTAGAGCAACTGAGCTAGTTTTGAAGGAAAGTCAGGGTAACAAGGAGCTTGTGACATGCATGACTGACGCCATCGCTTTGGCAGTCCAAGGTTGTCATGACATGAACTACACACGGCGACAAGCTATGAAGAAGGAGCTGAACAAGAATTATGCAGCCTTGTGCAATAGCTCAACAGTGGATGCGTCCTCTGAATTTCTCTTCGGGAATCTTTCCAAATTGGCGAAAAGATATTATGAATGCCAACAAACTAACAAAGAAAGTGTGCCCCTCATATCAACAAGGCATCTACAGCCGCAGCAATAGATATACTGCTGTTGGACGTTGGAACTTTGGCAATCAAAGTCATCGCTTTAGCCCCTATCAGCGTGGACGAAATGATTTTTTGTCCAAGGATCATCCACCAAAAAGCACAATGAAGAAAGGGGGTGCAGCAAAGCAAAATTAACACACAAGGTAAGTTCAAATCAATTGTGGACTACATTGAATGATTCCCCCCCCCTGATGTTGGTTTGATAGTTGGCAATCAGCCTGTTTTCAAGGTGGGTAGACTTGTTGAGTTTATCCGCATGTGGCATGGGATCAGGTCTGACCCTAATATACTGCAATACGTACAAGGGGTTAAAATTTCTTTTGTAGAAGGTATTGTACCTTGCCAACAGGCTTACTGGCCAAGTGTCTTTAATGGCCAACAACGTGAAATTGTCCAAAATGAGATTCAAAGTCTTCTCTCGAAAGGGGTGCTCAGACAATCACACTCTGAGACAGGGGAGTTTGTGTAGACCATATTTTTACACCCCAAAAATGATGGGTCTTTTCGTATGATCCTCAATCTTAAACAGTTTAATGAGTCAGTGGAATACNTGTTATATCCACACAAATCTTGTTTTTTGCGTGGGTGTTCCAAGGCTTAAGTCTCATGGGATCTCCTGTCTCTTAGTCACGTGATAGAATAGTAAAATTAAATGAAACTTACCTAAAGTTGAAGTTTGATTGAAAGTCTATCACGTGACGTACACTGTAGAGAGGGAGGAGGTCACATGCCCACCCTTTGCTCCCTCCCAGTCGGGAAATTATCCTGTGGAATACATACTGCAGTATCCATTTGGACTAGTATGGGTTGAACATGTTCTTACTTGTCACACCCTACTTCTTTAAAAAATGATCTAGCACATGCGCTGTGCTATCTCATGTGATCTCCTCCCTCTCTACGTCATGTGATAGAATTTCAATCAAACTTCAACTTATGGTAAGTTTTGTTTAATTTTACTTTTAACATGAAGCTAAATTTATTTAGACAACAATGCTATCCAAGAAAGAAAACCAACTAAGGCAGGTTTTCTTTCTCATTACCGTCTTTTAAAATCAAATGTTCACTTTAAATGTATAATCTATTAATACACATGTATCCAATGAACTAAGCACTTGTAATCCTAAACTTACCACTATACCAAGCCTTGTTGCTGCCCTCTTCAGCATTTGATGTCCTGAAAGGAAGTAATTAAATAATGCAAACTTAAGGACAAGGATGAGTACATAATTAGATAATTATATTGTACTGGGAATAATTAAATGACAAACAGTACAACACCATACCAAATCTCATTCCAAGTGTGTGCAAAGTCAATCAACAAAACTAATTGAATCAGAATGAACAGGAAGGCACCAATGAAACCAATGTAGAGCAATACTGCAAAATAAGAACAGACAGAAAAAACTGTAGGACAAATCTGCATTTATGCAGAGTGTTTGAGATGACTTAACAGCTTCACCAACATGAAATAAACCACAAAAAGACATTGTTGACATGAAACATTGCTGATTACTAAATATCTCCAGCTCACAAATGACAAATATTGTGCTTGCTGTTGGTTAAATGATTACTTGTAATGACAAATTGTTTGATGATATGAGCAAAATCTTTCAAACTCACCTAATCCAAATGCCCCGCGGGGAATGAAGAAAGCTGCTACCCACAATGCTACTAGCATAAGAAATTTCAGGCCCCAAAACCTTTTAACAAGCAAAACAAATTCAACATAGCTGATGACATCTGACCAAATAATAACATTGTTTATGTGTGACAATGATCATAACTGAAGGAAGGGTCCTCTACTGATTGGGGACACCTACATCTACTTAATATGAGTCACAAACTATGGACGAATGAATGCAGACTTTCAATACATTTATCTTATATCTAGAGGAGTTTAAAGAGGTGAAGAGGGAGGGGTGCAAAATGACGATGGACAGTTTCTGGCTTGAAAAAACAGGACATGGGTGTCAGAGCATAGGTGCTGTCATTTCCTACTCAAAAGAAAGGGGAGGGAGGTTGATTTTCTATCATCAACTGTTCAGGGGTTACATTGATTTTTTTTAGCAAAAACTGAAGGGGAGCTACATTCTAACATCTAACCATAATCAAATACTAGCCACTACAATTTCCATTATTGGCACTTGATCAATAGCAACAGAACTTGTCAGGTGGAAAAATCTAACATGCCAGCAGCAAATCTGAAGAGTCACAATGGTTTATGGGTCTCTGGACAGGTTGGCTCCAGAATATCTAAGTTCTAAATTCGAGAGGCAAGAAACTGCACATAACCTAAGGGACTCTGAGAAAAAACTAAATGTTCCATTGCCACGTACAAACTATTATAAAAATAGCTTTAGCTATAGCGGTGCCATTCTTTGGAGCAGTCTTCTTTGTGACTTAAGACGGGGATCTACCTGAATTTAAGTGAAATTTTAAGAAGTTTAAAGACAGCTGAATGCCCCCCAAAAGGGCACCCCAGGTTGGTGGACAACTGTTTGGTGTGTGCCTACATATTCCTAACTTCAAATTCTAATTTTAAAACAATACCAAATCTTCTAATTTTTCTATTTCCATAAATTTTACTAATCCTTTGAGAAGAACTATTTATCCCCAAATATACCCAAAAATCACCAAAAAATTTACAAAACAGCCCAAAACATAGATATGTGGGATGAGCTAAGAGATTTTTGACTGCTTGAAACATGAACAACATATTTGCGTCAAAACCATAATATCCAGCCAAAATACAGCCTTCATGTTAACCCTTGCCTTAAGGGAAGCAGAGTCCCTGAGGCAGTTAAAACACCTACTCAAAGGAGATGTATAAGGCAAATATATTTGTAGTTTTAGCTGATGAATTTTTTACCGAATTTTTTAAAACTCTGACATCCATAATAAAACAACTAGATACTGTAATCTAAATTTAAGCTGTCCTCGTTACAACAGATGCACGGAAGGTGGCCAGATGTTCACCATAACAGCAATCCAAGAATGGAACAAGCTTAATGTCGATCTTAAGTGTAGTCTAAGCACATTAAGCATTTTAAAGGATCACTTTTTAAATCAATTTTAAAAAATCAATTTACTACTCAATCATTTATTAATATCTAGCAGTTTTACATTTTACTACTTAGATATTGTAAATTAGTCATATTTGTAGGTTGTACATAGTGATTTTAATTAATTTCCTTTTGGTGTTTATTTCGAGGGCCAATAGTTTATCAGTTTTGTTACTGTTAAATGTTACCCTCTCCAATAAAGCCTACTACTATTACTACTACTGCAGTACTTTGTTGAAAGAAAGATTATGTATGCATGTATGTATACTCACCCATTATTCAGTCCTCCTCTGCAGTCCTTGCTGGAGCTGACCCCAAGGTTTAAGATTGTAAACAAAAAGAAGAATGCTGCCATTCCAAAACATATTCTGTAAACTGCCAGGTACCCGACCAACAGATCACAGTTAGTACCTGCATTGGCTGCCTGACAGGCTTCATCGAAGAATGGAACCTAAAGTTATGGCAATAGAAAGAATGTGAACAAAAAAAATTAGAAATAAAAAATGTGCCAAGGACAAATTTTCGTAGAGTAAAACTAACTTTATAGGAAAATTAATATGGCACACAATCAAAACCTTGATAAACAGTCTGACCTACATTATTTTCAAAGAGAGAGTATCATTATACCATTTGAATGAACAACATTGCATTTGTACAAAAATTACTGGAGATATCTTTTTTCGAAAGATCTAATTGTGACACTTCAGACAATGAACATTATGCAAGTGACTTGCTGATGTGCACTCAAACACAGAACACTTCCTAGCAGGCTTCATATGAATGGAGCTTTCAGTACGGGGGTTACTGAAATACTCAGTGATTACTAAGTACACTTTAAAACAAAGGAAAGATGATCAATGTTGAAGATGAAAAAATTGAAGAACCTCTCAGCTCCAGGTTATATTTACCATAAATGTGTAGGATCCTGCAGCTAGCTTAAAACACATGACAGTATGTATATACATGTACCTTTTCTACCATGGCATCTTGTATCCCTGATGATAACATCACACAAGAGATTATGGTGCCCAGCAGAAGAAACAGTGTATAGACAATCCTGGTAGATGTGGAACTGCGACATGATGGACAGCATGCACAGCAACAGTTAGCAGCTGCCGGGCAGCAGCAACAGGCAAACTAAATGAAAGACAAAAATGAATATAAAGTTACTGAGGTAGTTGTCTTTTCTTTTTGCAAGTTTGTAAACTTAAGAAAAAAAAAAAGAACAAGAATCATAGAGACCAACATTTCTCAATACAGACTAGATTAAACAAGGCAGCTCAACAGACTACCCCCAGGGGCAATGGCATCGGACATTTTGAATTTCAGTTGGTCCAATTCCCATCCTCTAGGACAAAAACAGTGTTCAAATGCTCCGTATTAGGATCATGCTGCATGATCAAATATGCCCCAACCCCCAGCATATACATGCGAAAAAGAAGTAGTGGAGGAAAAAAACTCACCCCTGAATGATGACCACATTTAGCTTGCACTGTGCCAAGAATAGTTTATTTTTTTATACATTATTAATTTAAACTATGGACTGAAGTGAAATTATTCACCTCAATATCATCCAATGATGTCAAGTTCCTGCCCCCAGGGTGCATCGGCTGGTCAAATGCCCAGGGTATGCCCGGGGGATGTTGATGATTTTATTTGACAACTACATTGCCCGTATACATGAACACTATACTTCTGGGTGGTGAAATGTACTGTGAGAGTGAAAGTACCAGGAGTGTTCTACAAATCCTACAAATTTAAACGAATGGGGTGTCTTGTATTCTTAAATGAGATTGAGACACGTAAGGCCTATTGCTTGTTTAAAGCCTGCATTTTCTATTTGAAAAAGCTAAATCAAGTACGCAAAGGTTTGAGCCCCTACAGGCTTAAGCTTAATTATAAAGCTTTAACTAGCGTGCTTCAACTGCAGGTGCTAAAACGTATTGACTTTGAACACTTACGCAAGCCTTTGCATGATAATTCTAACACGTCAAAAAAGTTATAGCTTCAAAATAAGCTCAATACAGGTAACACAGATACAGTATCGACAAGAAGACACTCTGAGAGGACATTAGCTAGAGCGAACATTTGCAGAGTTTCCCGAAGTCATCGATGAAGATCAAGAAATGGGTTAGCTTGTAAACAGGAAAGTTCCTCTTACCGACGCAAGTGTACAGACAATCGAACCCATTTTCTGTGAGACACAGCCTCAGTTGTTTCTGAAATGAAGTAAACAATTCACAGGCGAATATTTTTATGACAACAATTCTAAGTTAAGCACAACAAAACTTTTCCGTCTTCGCTAACCTCGTTCCCAGGGTCCTCTCTGTACCTCGAGAAAGACGAGAGAGGTAGAGAGAGGACCCTGGGAACGAGGTTGCCCCTTCGCACGAGCGAATAGTGACTCGTCACAGATGGGATTCGTCACCCCGATCAATACCGATTACGAATCGATTGTTACCCAAAGACAATGTTCGTAGATGCTGGACTGGACTTCAAGATATCGAGATAGGGAATCGATGAGTGTGTTTTTACAAATAAGCATTTTCCTCTGAGGTAAAGATTCGTAGTAATAGCCCAGCAGAACGAGTCTTAATTTTTTATGGCAAGTCGGAAATAAATTGAAGTCACTGGTGACACCACGCTATAGAGTGGAGTAGCGTTGCGTTGCGTGGCAGAGAATGAGTCAGTCAGTACAGCGGGCGGTGTGAAGTGTGATTCAACCAAATTCGAACTGACCACAGGTAGGTGAGATTTTCTAACTTCTCTCTCACAATCACCCCAAAAAGTTTTCCCTGATCAGCACCTTAACTCTCCTTAACCCGCGAATTCGCAACCGTCGACTCGTCGTGGGTCATCACGCAACGGTCGGGAGGGAGCGTTGCGTGACGACCCCAAACAACAGCTACTTCTAAGTACTCCTAAAGGATGTGCGATGAGCTCCGCTTATGAAACGCAGTGTTCGTCTTGAAAAATATTCGAAGAGTTTTACCCAGAGAAAGGGAAGAAAAGAAAATATTATTTCCAGGCGTTTCCAGGAGAATAATTTTCCCTTTCTTACTCAGTAAGTCCCAGTACCCTGCTGGTTTCAAGATTGCATTGGGACTGGGATTAAATTAAAAACGACAAACAATTTTCAAGATGGCGGACAGTGAGGCGCTCCACAGCAGCTCTCCAAATGAGACAGACGACGTTGAAAATAGGTTGGTGATGGAGTGCCGTGTTTTGTGTTTCTAAATATTCTTCCTAGTGCGTAATATTTTTTAATTTTTTCTCGGCTGATTCACGATGCATTGTTTTGGAGTTTACAATAAGCTTTTTTTGCACGCTCATACAAATTTGCAGCGACGAGTTGTCAGCTCTCACGAGTGAAGTTGTCAGTGGCGTAGAATCCATCACCAAAACGCTTTCAAAGTTGGGTGAGTAGTCACTTTAGCTTTAATTGGTTTAAGAACCCAAAACCCTGGGGAGCAATTAAGACTTGACAATATCCAAATTGACAAGTCGCACTGTATATGTGTGCGTGTTGTCAAGCACATGTCGCGATCAAAGAGAACGATCGTCAAATAGTACCGTTGAGTACGTGTAGCATGCAATAAGATTTAAGGAAATGTTTATCAATTGGGAAAATCACTATTTAAACTTGGACTGAAATATGTAATGCTTCACATTCAGTTTCATGTTGTCGAGGCATTATGCACCTCATAGCACAACAAGGACTGTGATGACGGTGAAGATGATAATGATGATGATGATGATCACAAAAACTATGATTGTTACGAGTCGAAAATAATTTAATACCCAGAAAGATGCTTCTCATCTCCAAAGATTTAACTCAACTCTTATTTTAAGAGACAAGACATTCATCTTGAAAAGAGGCTAGCCAGAACTGTATGAATGATGACCTGTAATTACAATCTGTTTTCCTAGGAGCTAATGAGCCCCAGTATAACTGGGTGGATATTACAGATAACTTTACAGCAGCTGCATCCGGTAAGACAAAATTCATGACTGATTCTATATGACTTTCCATTGTTTTTTGGAGGTGGTGTGGCCTGGTAGTTAGGGCGCTGGATTTGTAATCTGAAGGTCGTGGTCTGTGCAGTTGTTTTTTTTAGATTTTACTAGCTTGAGACTGTTGATAGAGGTCATTGAGTAGGCAAGCTTTCAATATAACAATTCTTTTTGGAATTATAGTAGTTTTATTGGATGTGAGAGCTGTGGATGGTTTTGCTTTTCATGCAATTTGAGTGTGTTTGCATCCCAATTTCAACAGTTATGCATTCAGGCATTACCTAAGTCTAAAGGTGCCTGTATGCCCTACATGTACAGTAGTGTCAACAGCAATAACAATATAAGAGATAACAAGAACACAAAGGTTAACTGGTACACATTCTAACCTAGAGAAAGCCATGTAACAATATTGGGTTCAGATCTTCATAAGTTGAATGCCTTATGGGTTTAACTTTTTTTACTCTCACAGAGCTGAAACTTGGTGAGCTTGTACATGATAACATGTAAGTAATAACTTACAATGCAGCGTGCCACACTTTAAGTCTGTCCTTTCCAAACAAGGACTGTTCAGAACAAGTTAATGTCCCAGACATACATTTTGATCTTAAAGCAGCTTGCAATAATTTTCTTCTTGAACTCAGTTATGTTGCAAGTTCACATACATCTCTCGTTAGACAGGCAAAATTATCCTTCCTCTGCTTGAAAAAGGGTAGCAAAGGTGGGGTTGTGATCCTGTTTCATGCAGAAATGTTAGCAAAATTTGTGTGTCACATATACTTTTAGCTAATTTTAACAATGGTTTTTATTCATAAATTTACAAATCACATTTGTCCTTTGTCTACTTTTCATTATCACACACTAATTTTTTTCCGTCATAGCGTGCCATGCATAAATCCTTTTCTGCCCTCTGACATTCAGCTTTATAAATTATTAGTAATTTACAGTAAGCAGTGGTACAGAGTTTATACATGTACATGTAGTGTCCTTAAGTAAGTGTTTGATCCTTCAGTTCTACTACCATGCAGAAAGTCATTTCACTCAATGGCGATCATCGTTAGTGTAATTTTTGTGGTCAAATCTTGTACAAATGTCATACATTGTACAAATCTTGTACAAATTAAAAAGTATGTTTATTATTACAGGCAAAAATTGTGTGAAGTAACCTGATTTACATGATAATTTCTGAAACCAGCTGAAGATAAAACTTTTAATTGCTAATTAATCCAGATAGATTTGTAATTTGTTGATTGTTTGTTCATACAGATTTGGCTTGTTTGAAGCCATGTCAGCTATAGAAATGATGGACCCTAAAATGGATGCAGGAATGTTGTGTAACAAAGCCAAGAAAGTTCTTCAATTTGAGCCAGCAGTTAAGGCAAGTAGAATAATTAGGATATTTACTTGATGTGTAGGCTTTTGCAGTCCTACTGTAAGCTACCATTACAAAAAAATTAAAATTGAGCTGGTGCTATTTAATAATTATTTTGTTTGTTTTTGGTCTGGTAGGCTGGCCTAGTGAAAATTAAAGATCTATCTCCTGATGAGCTTATAGGTATCATGGATGAATTGTTAGCTTGCTTGGTAAGTTCTTATTAAATCAATTTATTAACTAGGTAGTTAAAGCAATTTCTCAACCCATTCAATATCCAATTGATAATAAATTGAATCCAATAACCAGTTTGTCAGTTGGCTTGTCTTTCTGTGCATTTGTCTGTTGCAGCTAGCTACTGTTCATTTATCAGTCAGACAGNGTCTGTCTGTCTGTCTCTCTGTCCGTCTGTCCGTCTGTCCGTCTGTCAAGTACAATGTATGCTGGTAGGCAATCAGTAAATTTAATTCTTCCTTTCGAGTTTTCAGTCAGCTGTTTCTGTAAAGAACCAATTAAAAACCATTCTTCTTTAGAATAGAACAGTGGAAATGTAAAAGTCATTTATTGTATAATTTTAATTTTCCTGCTGCCATGAATACAGGTGACATGGCTTGATGGACATTCATTGGTCCAGACAGTGTTCACATGTTTGTACGTGCATAACCCATTCATCATTGAGGATCCATGTCTCAAGGTAATAATATGTTTGCAATTTAATTGTCTTATAGATTGCTCTTGAGTGTGGCTATAACTGGAAAGTATTTATTAAGTTACTTTGTCCACCAATAATTATTAAATGTGTCTGGTATTGTAATAGTAATAGATGTCCAACAGTAGCAATTAAATGTAGACATGATGATGGATGCGAATGCAGCCATAACACAACTGGAAAATAAAACCTGAAAAAAGAGATAGCCTGAAAATTTTTTCAAGTCTTTTTTCCAGTAGTGTTATGGCTGCATTTGTATCCATCATCATGTCTACATTTAATTGCAACTGTCGGACATCTGTTACTATGGAATTTAAATACTTGAGCTGAGTATTACGTCCACTGAACATAAAGGGCCAACCCAAACACGACTGCTCTGATGTGGCTTTGATAGCTCAGTTGGGAGAGCATTGCACCAGTAATGCAAAGGTCAGGGTAGGAATCCAGTTCAGAGCCTGAAAATTTTTTCAGGTCTTTTTTTCAGTAGTGTTATGGCTGCATTGTCATCCATCATCCTGTCTGTATTTGGTATCATTAGTACCAGTAATTTGTAAATGATTAATTTATAATATTAATAATATTGTATTTTCAGGCATTCTGTATAGCTATCTTGAAGTCATGTGATACCATCAAGTCTATTGTAAACAGAGCTCAAGTATTTGAGGAGGCAAGACTGATTTGTTGAATGATACTGCAGTAATGTTTATGTCTGGTTTTGTAGGTTAATAAGGATGGGTTGCAAAGCCACCCCTGTATATGCCCTTGGCTGTTCATAAACCTATCATCATTTTACATCTAAATTATTTTTATTGATTCTACGCTCCATGTATTTCCTTTCAGATGATTTAGTCAGAGTTTCAGTAAATACACTAATTATTATAGGTGTAGAAAATGTAAATTGAGACTTTCAAATTTGGAGTTAACAGTCAGTTGAATTTCAGACTTGTAGAGGGTTATGAAAATAAATGCAGCTTAAATTGAACATCTTTTCTCTTTTTGCCAAAAAATCATTGCATTCCCATACTAATTCTTATACAGTCAAAACTCTCCATATGGACACCTCTCTAATATGGACACCTCTCTAATACGGACAGTTTCCTATGTACTGACAAAATTCTCATACATTTCCTCTAAAAAACCTCCATAATCGGATCCCCTCTAAAATGGACAAGGGATACAAAATCTTGGCCTCAGGGAGCAAGTTCTTACAAATTTAACCTCTTTATTACGGCCACTCCAGGGACAAGGTGTCGATAATTTGCGGTATGTACCATTTCCTGTTGGCGGTTACACAAACATTGACACTTAATCATTTAGCCATACCAATACCAGAACATATAAAAATGTTAGTTTCAAAACTTACAATTACAAACGCAGATACAATACAGTGTAATCGAAAATACTGTTCCAAAATTTGTATGTACAGCATGTAACTGAGAAGAACAATAAAGTTATTATAATCAACTTAGATCCAGAAATTCACAAATTCACACATTTTAGTTACTAAACACTCTAAACTGTCAGTGAAGACTTAAAAGTGTCATCATCATAGTGTCCTCTCCCATACGGACACCTCTGTAATACAGACACTTAGCGCTGTCCCTTCGGTGTCCGTATTAGAGAGGTTTGACTGTACATCAAGTCATTGTAACACAATACCACTCAATAGCAAGAGTCACTTTCATGTTTCCTTACCACTGAGTTTCTAAGTATTGATGAAATCATAAGTGTTCTTATCAGTCAAAAAGGTCTGGAGAAATCTATTTATTAGGAACCAATTAACTCTTTGTAGGAAGATTTTCAAGCAATGACATATGGATTTAAAATGGCAACTCAAGTAACAGAGACAAGAGCAGCAGGTTGGTGTTTTAATAGAAAAACCCCTGAACATTACACAATATTATTTAATTAATCACTGTTATGTTGCTTTCTATTAGGTATGCTTAAAGAAGCAGAAGATGAAGTGGGCAGAAAAGTGAAGGTATACATAAGTTATATTATACTATCAGTTAATCCTGTGTTACCTCAATCCTTTACAGTCTCTGTTCTAACTTATTTCCTTATATTTTCCTCAGCCTCTGAAAACAACACTGAGAGAGGAACCAAACTGTGATTCTGAGTTGCTGCAGGTACAAATATCATTACTGTCTAGTGTGTGCAATTACATGTAAACATCACTGAATAGTAAAGTCAATGTTGGTAATCAAGACCAAATTGAGTTTGCAGTCATGACCGCAGCCCAATACCACATGTGACTCCCATATTCAGCATCTGTCAATCAGGCATGTTTTTTCTTGCACTGTGAATCTTCACAGTTGGCCTATTCTGAGAAGGCTGCAACTTGTCATTTAATATCCCTAAACAAGGGGCGGAAATTGGTGAGCACCCATTTAGCTCTGTGCTGCAGCCCTACCAGGAAGGAAACTTATTGTTACTCTGCTGGACTGGGTTGATTCAGTCCCAGGATATTATGCCAGTAACCATTGCATAACTTGCAATACAGGCATGAGACACCCCTTAGCATGACACCATGTGCGGAGGCCTCTCATCTGGTGAATCTTGCAGTCAGTGGGTTTTGGTCTGAGCCTTGCCAGTACACTCCCTGCTATACTTTTAGTAACACATGGTGAGTCTGACGACACTTTACTGCATGCCTGATCATTAACCTTGATTATTCTATTTCCTACTGTATTCCTTGCAGAGCCAAGTCAAGAGATATGAAGCTGTTTTAGCAAGATTAAAGTTCTACAGATCATTTTACCTCACCCTTGTTGCTCTTGAAAAGACAGAGGTGAGATGAATACAATAGTTACATGTATTTGCACATGTACACCATTTTGTTTTCTAAGTCAAGCCATATATGACAGGGTTTTTTATGTAAGAGACAACTTTCTTGGCCAAATTAGAGCCATGCATTCAGTTGTTGCCCCTCCCACGGGCAGGACACTGAGCTTTTCGCAATAAGTTGCTAGTATGGGATATGCCTTGGGTTGATGTCTGGAGTTACAAATTACATGTACTTGTAATAATGGCTGAATGTAATGCCTGGCTAAACAGAGGTGAAAGTGGTTGTAAGTGGAACTTACCTATGGACTTGTAGTAGGTGGCCAAGGAGACTCACAAATTTACTGTTAAGAGTATGCAAGTTGCAAAACGAAAAGTCAGTGACGCACTCTGATCAAGCTTTTGGCAGCTTAACATGTGACACCAAGATATGTGCAAATTCAATTTCAAGAAATGCATCAACTCTCAAGTCCCTCTGGTCAGGCCTTACAGCTTTATCAGGTTTTTGCTTAGAACAAATTTCTTTTGCCAAATTAAAATACAGCAAAATTTTTCAAGTTACTTAATAATGTGCTTCTTTGAATCATGCTAGGGTTCAGGTGTACCCACTGCCAAGCAGTTGTTAAACACTGCCCTAACTCTATTTGAACCTATTAGGAAGACTGTTGGATTAGGTATCCAACCCATACCAACTGATGATAATAGACAAGGTAAACAAAATTCTTCATACTTAACAACTGATTTACACTTTAGAGTTGAGAATTATTAGAGTCATTGAGTTGATGTAAGTGGGAAGTTTGGAGAACCCAAAAGAAGCATCAACTAGGCTAGCTATATAAAATATACTTTAAAAAAAAAAAATAACCAGAATACACAGGAATTAGCAGCAGCACTATTCCTCAACAGTTTCCAGATCAAATTAGATCAACAATTTCCAAATTGTTTGTAAATGTTGATTTTAACAATGCTGCAATTCGATTCTTGTAGATGCCAAGATCAGAAAATCCTTATCACTTCTTTCCATAGAACAGAAATATCCTCAAGATGCTTCTTTCCTTATCCTGGGTGGAAAGCAGCAACGTTTGATAGTTAGTCATATACTTGATACCACAAATGTTAGATTCAGATTCAGATGTTTCTTATTTGCTCTATTTACAAATCTTGTACTACTTATATTTCTTTTTATATTTATATCTATGTATTTTTTTTCTCTTTCTACCTCTTCTTTTATTCATTTTTCCTACAACCGATTTAAAGTGTAATAATTCTTGTAACTCAGTTCGTTTAGTTTATACTATTTTGAGTAGTTTTTTTGCTTATTTAAGTTTAATGTATTCTTTTGCTGAATGATATTCTATGTATTGTGGGAGGCGCGGTGGCCTCATGGTTAGTGNTGGTCCGGGTTCGAGCCCTGGCCGGGGACATTGTGTTGTGTTCTTGGGCAAGACACTTTACTCTCACAGTGCCTCTCTCCACTCAGGTGTATAAATGGGTACCGGCGAACTTAATGCTGGCGGTAACCCTGTGATGGACTAGCATCGCATCCAGGGGGGAGTAGAAATACTCCTAGTCACTTCATGCTACAGAAACCGGGATAAGCTCCGGCCTGATGGGCCACTTGGCTCGCACACAGACTTTACCTTTACCTTACCTTTTATTCTATTTATTATGCAAAATAAAATGGTTGTTGTTGTTGTTGTTGATGATGAAATTATAACATCTACAAGGAAAACATAGAAATGGAAAAAAGGAAAAATGTACATCTAAAACCATATAAAGATGTGCTCAGTGACTTGAACTTTCAAGTTAGTGGGTCACCCACGAAAAAAACTGACAAGAAATATATTATTACAAAAAAAGTAATACAAAAAAAGAGCAAACCAAAGCAAACCAAAGTTTGCTAGCTACACGTAAGAACCACTAGGATCAAAACAAACAAGTGATTAGGCTATCACTCCTCTCTGTATTCTCTTAAGTTTGTGTTTCTTATTTATGTCCAAGTTGAAGACCATATAGGTTTATACTGCAGTGATACTTAGTTGGTTTGGATGCCATTGTAGGTGGTATAATGGGCTTTGAACCACTTGTCAATCAGAGGCTTTTACCACCATCCTTCCCACGCTACACTGCTATCTTTGGCCGCCCCCAGGTAAGCGAGCATGTGCATTTAATGATAATTATTTATTCAACAATTATTGACGAAATACCAGCCTATTTTGCCCCTACCCTTGGGGCCATGGAATTCAATCAAATAAGTCAGTAGTTATGGAAAACTTGCTGCTGAACGTTTTTTTTGGTGAGCTTCTAGTTAGAGGCAAATGCATTTTTGACTATAAACAGAGAGGCAATATAATGAGTGACACTAGAACTAGCCATAACCTCAAACCAACCTTTTTCAAAGATGTTTTGGGCTCTTCAAGTTTCACAAATGTTCATTCTCAAAGGTTATATTACTTGCAGAGACTGGTTAATGCACATGTACATTGTAAAGAGAGATATTACATAGTCACATGTGCAATCATTGATGCAGTGTTTTGATGTGTTTTTTTTTTTTCTTTTCTTGTTATCAGGCTATTGACTATACTGAAGCAATGGTCAAACGATTTCTCCACATCTGTGATGTAGTAAACTATGGATCTCTTCATATTATTATCGTATGTAAAGCTTTCAATTTCTTCTGAATTATTTGGTTGCTGAACAAGAAATGCCATTTTAAAATCTCAAGGGTGCAGATTTTGAAGAAATACTTTTTCAAATTCATTAATAATTCATCAAGTTTAAACAAAGGAAATCATGACCGTGACGGTGTTTGGATATGTGATGTTGATTAGCATAGATTTTTACGATTTTAATTCTCCGTTTTCTCCTTAGTTTTAGTTTTGATTGAGAAGATATGTCAAACACTCAAGACAGTGTTTGACCATATTTCCATATACCTCGAAGTTTGTCAAAAATACTCTGTTACGCGTCGTATTTTCAACTCTCTTCTCGGTGTTTGAAAATGTGGTCAAACACTGTCTTTTGCGTTTGATATATTAGAGTAAGCCATATCTGTATAGCCTTCTAAGCAAATATTCTTTGGTCTTGTTGTTGTTGAGTGATTTGTCTTAATTGCCCTTGATGTCATGCCTTCTGGAGACCACATGCCCAAGGAGTGTTTGCATAGGGTGTAAGGCCATATTTGTAAAATAGCTTTCAACCAAACAGGGATTAAAAAAATAGCACTTTATACTGGTGCTTTTAATGAAACAAATGTAAACCCTGCAAGAAAATGACATAGTAGGAGTGTAACATTTGTATCTTTCCTCTATGTTAGAATGTCCAAGGTGTATGTTGCTAGTTTGAGAATCAGATTTAAGCTGGTCTAGAATGTTCTAAAAAGTGAAATAAAACATTTGAAACACTAACTGTACATAATGTATAGTATTGTAACCTGCGTGGATAACAGCAGCTTTCACATCAACTGCCAACGGTTAATAACAGAGATCGGTTCCTGAGCATATGACTTGTACACTGCAAGTCTACACACAGAAAAGCCCGCCCCCCTCCCACAACAAAACACGAGTCTTCTTTTCATACCCTTGCATTACAAAAATAGTCCGATAAGCCACCAAAGTGTATGAAGAAATTGTGATTGAATATAGCTATAATACAATGGTTCAAAAAAGTATCAATTGCATTCTCTTTGCAGGACTTTATTTCTGAGTTCAGTAAGAAGCGTCCTTGTGTTTTAACACGATCTTATTTACAGGTATTTTGATTGTTTGCAGAATTTTCCTTCTTATTCGGCATGTGAAGGTGTTACCTTTGAATTTTTCAGTATGCTTTGGAATATGGTGTTAATCAGTTTTTGAGTTTTTTCATCGTTGCCTGTTCACAATTTTGTAACAACCAGAACATATTTAAAGGAGCTACATCACGGTTTGNAAACTGTTATTTTCAGGTTTCCTACCATTTAAAGGTAATTTTGTATGTGGCCAAAATAACTCAAAATACCGTGACTGAGCTCCTTTAATAGACAACTATCGAAGTAAGGGCATAGTTTTCACAATCAGCTAACATGTTGTTGAAGGTGTTTGCGTATTTGTAGTAAGTTCTGTTTTTATTCTGTACAGCTCCTAGTGTGGCAGAACAATAATCTCTTGGGAAAAGCTGACACAATAAGAGATGCTATTAGAGCATTTAACAGTCCACCATCAATTGCTGAGAAGTAAGGCGCTTTATTTAGCTTGCTACTGATATGCCATTTGTAAAATTAATGTCTCATTCTTTTGAACGTTGTGTGATAGCTTTTATCAAAATCTTATATAGTGGTATGGTAGCATTGTGTACCAACCTTTATTAAGAACTCATAAAAACGTTGAAAATGTACAATTTTAAATGTGACGAGATTCTAATTTGGCTGTGAAAGTCAATTCATTTTTTAGATCTTCCTTTCTCTTTGTACTTGATAGCTTGAATACTAAGTATTAAAAATAAGAGACAACATCTTAGGGGTCTATTTTAATGATCGACTGATCTTTGTTTTTTGATCGTTACAGGTCCTCTCTCAGTTCTAATCCCAAAGCTAATGACCTTGCTGAGAGCTTTATTAGCAGAGCTGCCAGGGTAAGTGTGAAGATAAAAACAGGACTCAGAGAGAAAATGACTACAGTAGCAAAATCAGCCAATCACAACGTCCGAATTACCCTATTTGTAGACCTGGTAAAATCCGTAGGAAATCCTTGGAAGCCAGTCACAGGGTCCGGGTGGGGTTCAGTACTGTAATCTCAGTCATCAGTTCAATTTTTGTTGATTTCCCAGTGCTTTATCAGCTAAAATTTAAAACCATTTCTCAGCTATCAGCGAGCAAAGTTTGCAGAGCTCTGATCTTAGCTATCAGTGAACAAACGCTTTTCAGCCGACAGTTACAATTTTGACCAATCCTTAGCTATTAATTCAGACCCTCCTATACGGCTTTCTCTACAGACCGATGTAAGAAATTGTTATTATGATTTGCTCCTGCGATAACTTTGCACCTTCTAGATTTTTCTGCACGTTCTTGAATTTCAGTCTTAGAGGACGTTTCCCCGGAAGAAATATCTCGGTTTCTGCGGTTTTTGAAATAGGACATGTAAAGGTTAATTGATGTAGTTGTTTTTCAGCCAGTGAAATCCATTATCCACGCTCTTGGTCACAATCGTGCTCGACAGAGGGACAAGTTAGCTCATATCTTGGAGGAGTTTGCTGCTTTGCAAGACGAAGTAAGAGACTTCACTTCAATCAGTAGATACTTCAAATGATGTACCTCTTTAGTTAGAAAATGTCCTCGAGGATAAAGACCTAATGGAAGTTCAAATGGAAACCATTAAAGATGTGACGAAATTGCTCAGTAGAGCTTTTAAAAAGGTTATATCTGTTGCAAGCATGCTAACTGGAGGGGGGGTGCTAGTTCTTTGCAGATTACCCTCCCCTCCCTTTCCTTTGCATTATGTCAGATGCCCTCAACAATTCCCTCAGCAATGGCTCAGCAAAGTAAAATGTTTTGCCCAAGAACACAGTCGAGTCAAATCAGCCTTAAACAAGACCAAGATGTAGATTTTGAAAGTCTGCAAAACTGCTTTTTAAACTTGTGCCCCATTTTAGGCAGACAAAGTCGACGCACAGCTTCATACACTGCTAATCAAGGTCGAACCTCAGGTAAGGAAAGAATATTTACCATAACTAACGTTTATAATGTACGTGATTGTATATTTAAGGTGAATTTTAACCCGTTCCTCTGGTCGCGTATTCCTGCACTGGGAAGTGATTGGTTACATCTCACACTCATGTTTGAAATAACGTTGTATCTCGAGCGTTTTGACTTCTTTACTTCGGTACTCTGTTTCTTAATTGAGCTTAAACAATAGTAGAAACACAAGCTCCTATTTTGTGTTGAGTGGGAGATAATAGATTTTGTTCTTTGGTTTTGCAGCGTCAACACTTTGCGTGTTTCGGTTCGTGGGTGTTATACCACACACTGAACATCATGATTCAATATCTGTTGTCTGGATTTGAACTAGAGCTGTACAGTCCACATGAGTATCACTATGTGTTTTGGTAAGCTAACTCAGTCACAAATTTGTCTTATAATCCATGAAATGATTTTGCTCGCACGCGGTGCACTTGAACTGAAAATGCGTCACGTGACTGCTTTTTGCGGATAATATTTGAAGGAAAACAAACACAATAACCTCCATGTGACTTAAAATATGCTCTGATCTTTGTCCTTGGACATGCACCTCGAAGCTCGGAGTTTTCCTCGAGGGTCGTCGGAAAACTGTTCCAGCTAAAAGTGAGAAATAGCCTATTCCCATCCCTAGCGTTTGAGGAACGACAAGGATTTAAGTTCTAAAAAGTCGTCCTAGCTGCTTTTTTTCATACAAATCGTCGAAAAAAGGTCCGGGATAAGAGTGAATTTGCTGCTTAAAAATTCTAGAAGTTGGTTTTTCTCATTATTGAATCCGAGTGGCAATTAAGAGATTAAAGAAATAACTTAATGGTTCGATGTATTTCATAATTTGCTGTATTCATGAACTTTCTTTGCCCATCGTAGGTACCTGGACTTTTTGTTTGGTTGGCACATGACGTGCCTCAATCGCGCTGAGAAGTTACTGCAGGCTCAAGAAACCGCTTTAGGTACCTGTCTGTCGGCCTGTCTGTATGTCTGTCTGAGTGCCCGACTGTCTGTCTGTCTCGTTTCTCTCCTGTGTGTCTTAGTCTCTGCGTTAATCTGTTCTAGATTTACTGAGGATTGATAGCCTGTAGTTCAACCGAGATCGCGCGCAAAAATTTCGAAGTTGCACCGTATTGTTGGCTCTACTGTTTGTTTCTAGCCTTGACTCCTGTATCATACGATCTCTTTTGTTTTGTCTCTTGTTCTATATTAACATGACTTAAGTAGTTAAGTTGTGGTTCTGCAAATACTGTTGATGTAGAGTTAACACCTGTTTTGAGCATGATCTGATTTTTCCTACAGAGCAAAAAAGTGGGCGAAGTGGAAAGAAAAACAAAAAGAAAAAGAAAGGTGAGAAAGTGCAACATACTGTTTTATTTCAGATTCTCTCCAGTTTAAAAACTTGTTTGATGTGTATGACAGCAGTGAGCGAAGAAGAATCAATACTGCATATTTCTACACTATTTCCATATTAATTTGGATTCCGCAAACGTCGTATATTTATCATTCCAGTTCCGTGGGTACAACGCTTTATCCTCAGGACTATGGGAGGGTAGAGTAGAGTAGGCAGAAAGGGGAACCAAGAATAGAGAGAAGGACTGAGGACTATGACGACATTGCATTTTTTCTTTGTTCATTGATAGCAAGTGAAAAAGCTATTCAGGAGCACCAAGGAATGTGGCACTTGTATCAAGGAATGAGACATTTATGTCAGGGATATCTCAGGGTAATTACACAGCCATATTTCCTCTTTCCGTTTAATATTCTGAGTCTTTTCTCCACTTACCGTGCTGATAAAACTTTCGTAAAATCTGGATATGTACTGTAGAGCGGTTGTAATCGAACTAGTGGTCTTACCGAACTAGTAGTGGTCAGGTCCAGGTTGTTAAAAAGGTGGATTACGCTATCCGCTGGGTAAATCATTTTCCAGCGGATAGCGTGGTTTGCTTTGTTAACACGTATCCACCGGATAGTGAATTATTCGGTGGATAGCGTTATCCACCTTTCGAACAACCCGGACCTGAAATTCTGTAGGGTAAATGATTAAAGCTGGCGGTAAAACTAATCGTAGCACCAACACGTAATTTACATAGTATGATGAATGAAAACACTGCCTTTACTCATAATACTTTTCTCGTGCCAGGCTATTGAAGGGTTTGAACTACAAGATAAGACAAGGAAACCTGCGGATAAGTTTGGTTCCGAACAGGTATGAGCTTACTGTTACTGTAGTTGTCATTTAGTTCTCACGTGAAAAATATGCAGAACGGCTTGTACTGTACTGCGAGATACTCACACCTTTACCGTGTTTCGCACCCAAAAAACAGTGGCGCGGAAAGGAGCGTTGTAATTTAAATTTCAGTCCTCAGAGCTGAATGACTGGAAATTATAAGTTGGATCGACGTATATAATTGGTAAAATATTACCCTTGGTACAATTTGATATTTTCCTTTGTTTCACACACATTATAATATATTACCATACACCAGAGCAAAGAAAACTACAAAATTGTACCACGGGTAAAACACATATGCTACGACCCTTTCTTGAGAAATTAAGGCCTCTATTGTGCTGTTTGACTGTGCGAACTCACTAACAGTGATATGTGTGCCGTTTCTTGTTACAGCTGCGATTTGAGCGTCGTTTCCTGCCATTTCAAGCAGTGGATACACCTCAACCGATGTACTACCAACACTACAAAGAGTACAGTAACATGTCCAAGATGAACATGTCACAGGTCAGAATTGAAATGCTGCAACGGCTCTGAATAATGCAGGGTTACAGGGGGAAACCGTTTTGCTCTACTGTGAGGTTCCTACAGTCTTAAAATTGCTCTAGTGCTATTGGTTTGATTCTTATTAGTGACTAAGCGTTGTAATTATACAAAAACTAATTGACTCGCACGGGCTAACTGGGAGCGTACTTCCTTTGCAATTATGAACACTGAAGTTTATAAGAAAAAATTCATGCACAGCAAAAACTGCTGAAGTGCTTTCTATCATCCGGTTCCTTTGAATGACTCTTAAAAAAATTCTTGCTCAAGCTATTGCCCACGAAAAAAACTCATGCGCAACCTAAAGAAGAAAAAAAAATTCATGCCCCGTCCCAAAGTAAGTTTATATTGGGCCCTTGTAGCCGCCGGCGGATTTCACTGTTGCCCCAGTCTCCCAATTTTTTTTTTCTGTTTTGGGGTGGAGGCCTGGAAAGAAATACCAGGAGATACTGGTGTTGACTGCTGTATTTTGGTTGGGTTCAGACGGTTTCAGAGATTTCAAGGTCTAACGGACTCGGCTTCGTCTAATGAAATAATTGAGCTGGAGGTTTTGCTATGTCTATATTACAGAGTACGGACCTGTTTGTGATGGCGTCGAATTCCTTCCAGCAAGCAAAATCGATCTTTGAAGTGGTGAACAATGTACATAACGAAGTGAGTAATCGCCAAAAAACTGTTTTCATTTGGTTAGTGCTTTTGTTTGTAAACATTGCGTAATACTTTAAGAGTGAGAACTGTTACTATTAACTTCACCCACTCCCTAAATACCTCTTACTAACCGAGTTCGAGGGCCGTACTGTAAGTTACGGACCGAGTTTTTCCCCATCGATTTATGGCCCAAGCGCGAGTGCATAAATCGATGGGGAAAACGAGGATCCGTAACTTACAGTACGGACCGAGAAAACGAGGTTAGTAACTATGATTATATCTCTACTGTGTGTCTGACGGGCTCAGGAACGATTTCTATTCACGCGGAACGGCTACAAATTCTGACGCACCTCGAAAGCAAAACGACTCCATTTGAAATCATCGTTGAGTGACTCTTAAGTCGTTAGTAGGTTTTAATGCACATTTTTAGAAGTAAAAGAAAGTTTTAAACTTTTACTTGCTAAAAAAAAACTTAAGAACACTTTGCGATAAATCACGAAACATTTTGGCAACAAACACAGCTTTAAATTTTAGCGGGCGGTACAGGAGAATACGGCCCGCTAAATCGACCAATCACAGCGCGCGTACTAACTGAGAGATATAATAAGCCTTGTTACGAAACACGCAGCATCATGCAGAACTACAGTAGAATTTCAAAAGTAACGGCCCCCGTTGCTTAAAAATCGTTTGTACGGTACTTCATAGTCGCTTCAGAGAAAGCGAACGCGTAACACATGAAATAAGAAACGTTTACTAACTACCCACACAAAGCAGACTGTATTAACATAAAAGGCCGCGAATGTTGGTACTGTATTTCGAAGGTAATGCTCGCATTATATCGCAATGTAATACTATTATATCGTTTATAATACGTTTTTTTATTGTAGTTGAGTGCTTATCTTTACAAGGCCGCTAATTTCGGGTGGGCCGTTACTTTAGGAAAGTTAAAAGTTACCACTACTTTCGGGGATCCGTTGTTTTCGGGGGGGGGGACATTACTTTCGGGATTCTACGGGTATCATAAAAAAAAAATATCCCAAAAAAGTAGCTGATGGAAGTGAAAAAGGAAATTGATTTTTTGCCTCGCACCGTTTGATGTTCATTACAGTTGTTTTCTGTAGGACAATGCATGCACAAATTAATAAATATCTAGCTTGAGTACTGTCGAAATAAGAAATAACTCTCTAGACTACAGTTTTACTTAATCCAGGAAACAGACGGTATTCGTATTCTTGCAATGGAGGCTCATGCGGGGGATATCATTAAAAAGAGATAAATATCATTTGCATTTGAAAAGACCCCCCTCATTAGCCTCACTTGCAAGCTAGTTCCAGTCCGATACCGAGAATGCAAATATGGTCGATTTAATCGTTCTTAGTTAATCGTTCAATATGCCTTGCGATATTGCTGACACGTGTCTGTATATTTTCGGCAGGTTGCTTTGTTGCTCAAAGTGACAAAGACAAATCTTGTCGTCACCAAGCTTGCGGCTGGAGGTCACAAACGCGATTCTAAGGTACGCTTTTAACAGCTTGGGAAGTAAAAATAAAAGGGTAGAGATAAAGAAACTTCATTTATGTACGGTTTGTGTTTTAAGGTGTGTGTGTGTTGTGGAGTCGTTTGTACTGACGAAATAAATAATTCAAAGCTGAAGAATTACAGCCGGAATGAGGCTTTAAGCAAAATTTTTAGTTCATTGCGGGTAATAACGAAGGAGACATGGGCTTTCAAAAACTGTAGAAAAGCTAAAGAGGTCCCATATATTGTAAAATTTCTAATTTTAAGACCACGTCACAGAAATGTCTAGTGAGAGACAGTTAACGTGGCCAAATTTACTTATACTAGAGTCAGTGTAATTGCTTTGTTGGTTTTGTTCTTAGAATCCTCCAGAGTTTGACTTCCAATGTCACCGAGCCTTTCCAATCATAAAACTGAAGTGACGCCGACCGCGACGAGAAGAAAGATAACTTGCCATCTTAACTTCAGGCGTGGTTGTGTGAGTCATCATAATTCGTGGCATTTCATTTGTTTCCTATCTAACTGGAACTTATGAGACCTGAAGAATTCACAGAACGGAAATACCATCGGCTTTCAATCTCAAGCGAAAACGAATGCAGTTTCTTTTTGCCCGGTTAAATTGTCATGTAAAAAAATAAAGCTTATTTAATAACGTCTTGCCTTTGTCCAGTTTTACCTCATCTAGTCAATATTGCTGTTTGTTTGTCTGTCTGTCTGTCTGTCTGTCTGTCTGTCTGTCTGTCTGTCTGATTGACTGTGCGTAAATTACCTGGCCAGGCAGACAGTCGACCATTCATTGAGTCGTAGTCAGCCATCAAGTCAGGCAGTCTGTTGGTCAGTCAGTCATTTATTCAGACAGAAGCTAGAGAGACAGTCATTCAGTGAGTCAGTCACTCAGAGAATCAGTAAGTAAATCGTTCGGCCGGTAAGTCGTCGGTTGGTCGGTCAGTCAGTCAGTCGGTCAAACAGTTATTCATTGAGTTACTCTCGGCCATTCAATCAGATGGTCCGATGCTCAGTGAGTCATTTATTCAGACAAGTGCCAGTAACACAGTCGGACAGTCACCCGGTCAGTCCGTTTGTCAGCTGACGGAAGTCGGTCAGTCAGTCAGGCGATCAGTCAACGCAATTTTCGTATGTTCATTGGTTGTATTTGAACCAATACTCTAATGATAACCCGCGCCCCAACCCCATTCCTGAACGGTAGCGTTTATATTTTACAAATAAGTTGATTTCGACAGAAAAGTTGTGACTTGTTTTCGTAATAAGTAGGTTTGGACTATCTAGAAGTTTCCTCTGATTCAGGCAACACTGCAAAGATTTTCAAACTAATTAAATGTGAAAGTCTTTTTATTTCAGTAGAGTGGAACAAACAATTCTATTTACAAACTTGGAAATAAGATAGCCAAATACATACATACATACATTACTGTATTTACCCTCGGATTTCAGAGTATGCAGGTAATATCTCCGAGCATTTAACTATCAGATGAAGGATAGACCACCACACCGGGAACTACGTCCCCCTACTCTTTTCGATCAATGTGTGGGTTCTTTTACGTCCCACAGAATTAATTATGAAGAGTTTTAAGACGGGGCCTACGGTTTATCATCGTTATCCAAGAATTCAATTAAATTCAATCCGTCACAAACCCACCAATTACTGAGAGCATAAGGAAGTGATATTAGAGAGTTTATTTGGATCTGTTCTTGTGAAACAATACTCCGACAGATCAGTTATTGTGAGGCAGTGCCGTCGGAAGGAAGGTTCCACTACGAGTCCAAGCAAGCCAGCGATTAAAATCCCCATGCCCGTGGCTACAGCTACAAACCCCAGAACAAATTCCCGCAGGGGGAACTCGTACGAATTAGTAAACACCTGCAGCACATTAGCGTACATAATTCCGATGATGAGACCAGCCAAGAATGAAATAAACAGCAGTATTGTTACACTGGGAAGGAAACGGTACCAGGCGGCAAAAAGACAGAACACAAGAATACTAACTTCTATCACAGTCAAGAGCCATAACTTTCGAATCATGACTTTGGGAAGGAATTCTTGTTTGATCAACGAAACGAAAGCGAGGTATGATCTACCGATGAATTCTCCCAAGAGAAATAACGTAATGTAGTACTGGTAATGATCCCGAGGGGGGAAGGGTGAGTTTGGAAATGCGTACGTCGTGATAACACCTTGGGTGACTAAGAACTCGGACATCCACGAAATCACCACGCAAAGGATTGTTGGAAGAATCTGTTTTATGGCTTGTAGCTTCTGTGCTGTTGTCAGCAGGGGTGGGGAGGGTTCGTCTTGTTTATTCTCTGTACTTTTGGTTTGGTCAACTGTTTCGTATTGTACATAGTCGAAGGGTAACTGTCCTGGTTTTCTTGTTGTTGGTTTGCTGTGCTTTCTCTCCATCAGCCAGTAGAATATCAAATAAAGAACAACAAGCCCAGCTACTGTCACTGTTGTAGTCTCGGAGGACACACAAAACCACGTTGTCATGGCTGTACACAAAAAAGAAGACAACTTTAAGAGTAACTCAGAACTGTTTAGTTTTAGATTCTGAAAATGAGAATAAGTAATACAAAATTCGGGAAAGAATTGAGATTGCCGGTGATGGGTACTTTCCGAAAAAGAAAGTATGGAATATTTGCAGCGAACAGGATTGTGGAGGTCAACGAGGTTGGAGAGTGGATCACTCCATAAACGTATTTAGAGGACTGACTATACAACGTACAAATAGCTTAGATACCGTGTTTATCCTGGAACACAAACGAAGACTGAAAAATAGCAATTTCAAATGAAAGCTGTAACTTTTCTGTTATGTATAAAATGCAAGAAAAAAGCCATTACCCAATGTAATAAAGTGAGGTTAAGTGTCTTAAATGGTTACGGTTATTTGGAACTACTCTATGAAGGATTGATGACTCAGAAAAACGGTTGCAGTCGAGTATTTAATAATTTGCATGAACAACAGATGAAGGAGTGGAGAGTCAATTCCAATCCCTCGCACAAAAAAACAGGGAAAGCAGAGAGGAATCGTGTATTAGAAAAATATAATATGAGAGCCAAAACAACAGTCTGAAGTTGAAAAATGAAAAAAAAAAAAAGAAAAAGAAAAAAAAGTCTTGCTGACAAAACGCGGCCACCCCTCCCCCAATCTCCACTGAGTTCCTTGGCTGGAACCATAAGAAAACCATTAATCGTTTGCATGGGTTTGTACGGGCGAGCGAAGGGAACTTTATTCAATTGTACCAAAAAACAATGAAGATTACTTAGAATTCAAAAAATCACTTTTAACTAATGCCTGAAGAAAACCCGCAGCATCTGTTCTCCGCCGGTTGTCCTGGTGACTAAAGTTGTGTTAGAGTATTTAACATCTGCCGGATGACCTAATCGTCCAATGCAAATTATTTTGTTTTGTTAACAAAATAGTTTGCTGAATTAAGAATTAATGAAAATTTACCGGGAAAGACGATCGACTCACCACTCAGTTGGAATCGACAATCGTAAAGCATACAGGTCAGAGATACTTTTTTGTCTTATTTGCTATTAAAAATACACGATCAAATTACGTGACTTTTTTTAGGGCCTGATTACATGGCGAATTTCAGCCGGCGCTGAAATTTCAGCCTGGTTAGGCGGGCTAAAGTTTCAGCCCGGCTTCTGAAACAAATTCTCATGAAATCAAATTCAGCAATTCAGCTGAATTCAGCTGAATTTTGTCAGCAATTCAGCAATTCAGCCCGGGCAAACGGAATTTCAGCCCGGGCTGAAAAGCAGGAAATAAGATGGCTGCCGCTACGAAGTAGAAGCGATCTCAGTGGAATAAAGGCGATAAAATAGAGAATCTCTCTAATTTCAAAGCTTAGATGGAATATAAGAACATCGAGA